TCCCCCGCATCGGTTTTCAAGTATCAATTTGTCGAATCCCCAACCAATATCAATTCATATAAATTTGCAGATTCACAATAAATCTACACAATACATCACCGGACTTCAGCGGTAACGATGTTCCACTGCATATGTCGTTTCGGTTCGATGAGGGAAAGGTTAGAATTTAGCTGAAAGTTGCATTTTCTTCACATATTCTTTTCTCTTTTTTTATCACCTATACCATTCAATATTTATATTTTGATATCAAATTTATAGCGAAAAAGGACAAAGGAAAAGATTTTTTTGGCTACTTAAAAATCATATTTTTTCACCGAATTATTTTTTTGTTATTTCTAAAAGTTCTTTTGTCTGTTTTTTCATCGACATTAGTTTTAATTTTGATTACTTTGGATTATTAAATTTGTGAGGCATGCATTAGGCGATCGGTTTTCGTTTAACTTTTTCGGTTTCTTGTCAATTATTTCATTTGAAATTCATTAACCAAAATTTGTGGTTATATTTTTCTGTTTTTTTTTTCTCTCCAATATAAAGTAAAAAAGCTTTTTTTTTTTGTAGTTTTTTCCACCAACTTTGATCGAATAGTGAAGTTTTTTGCTTACTTTTTTTTTTCTGTTATTTTACTTCTAGTTGCCTGTCAACAGTTGGTATTGATATTTTTTGCAACATTATTTTTAAGTACTGTGTGATAACGAGGAAGAAAAACAATTTAATGAGCAACAAAAAAAAAAAAGTGGAAGTGGAAGAAATAAAATTTTAAGAGTGGTAACAATAGCGATGACGAAAGAATAAATTGAAAAGTTTTATTTTTAATGGTGGGTAATTTTTTTTTTTGTTTTAATATAAACTGATAAACAAGAAGGCTTTTTTTTTTGTGGTGATAGTGGAGGGTTAAGTGAGTAAAAGAAAGAGTGGTCTTTTTTTTTATTCGCAGTTTTTTTTCTTCAACTTGCCAAACTTTTTTTTATTTCTAAAGGTTTTAGCAGTTGTTTGTGTTTGCGGTAAGATTGGAGGGGAGGAAATAGTGGGTCAAAAAAAAATTATCATACCTATTGACTTTACGGAATCTGTTAAAATACATCAAAATTTTGGAAGATAAGTAACCAAAAGTTTTGATGTGTTACGGAATCGGTTAAACAAAGGATTTAATTGTGCAAAGCAGCTATTATTGAAACTTTCAGATAATATTCAACAGTTATGCCAAAGGTGAATGGGGCAAAGAGGAACGTAAGAGTAATCCGTACAAAAAAGGTGATAAGGTTGATGTCCGTATACGAGCCCATGACAACAAATTTTCGATCTTCCTAGATCAGGTCG